GGGGTCTTGGCTGTCATGGCAACCAACTGCTGGTGTTTGAAAATCTCAACTTGAAAGAAATAAATGACTCTTTAGGGTACCCCTGACCCCCTGCCCAAGTTACAGAGTGACCCAGAACCATGATTAGATGATACAGACAGACCTGGATCAGCTTACCAATGCCAGAATGGAAGATAGGGTTAGGTCATAAATGGATATAAGTTTTTTTTTTTACCCAGCAATCCTGCCTGCTGGTAAACTGGTAGGGAGGGGAATCTTTTATCATAATGCATTGAGCTTATGCTGGGAAGGGGAACCTTTAGTGCACTTCTCAGAAGGATTTGGAAGTCTAAAGCCTATGCTGATAAAATCATCTCTAGGACTCAGCATTCACTCCAAAATGGCACCAGGAGTGGTCATCTTTATGGCCATATTTGTTGTCTTTCCATACAATGAAGGGAATTCTACTTTATTGTGTGCTTTTCTTGAGCCAGTGCTCAAACTGCCTCTGCCCTTTCCTGGATCCCAGGTGAGGTCAATCTATTTCACAGTTCACACTACTGTGAAAACACTGGGAAACAGGAACAAAAGAAATCATCGATACATTTTTCGTTCGTTAGTCTGTGACACTGGGTACCTAAATGGAAATTCCAACACACTCTTCTCCCAGTTCCTCACTGGGAGGCTGAAGGGGGCCCGCTGAACAGGTTCTGCCTCTTTATGGGGGCAGGGCCTGCATCTTTGATGGTCTTACTCCTCCATGGAGACTAGGAATGAAAAGTCAGAAACACAGATCAGGACGACTTAGTAAGTTGTAATGATTTTCTATTTTTGTCTTGAGAAAATAAAAATATTGTTAAGGAAAGTTTGTATCCTTTGAAGTTTTGTTAAAAAATAGCAATTAGCATTATTAACATGCTAAAAAATCAGGTTTAAAATACTATCAAATTGCAGTTGTATTAATATCAGTCTCATACTAATGGACTAAGAGGAGGAGTTCTTCCTGAAACATTTAAAAAAAAATGATAAAGAGGGAGAACAGAGAGCAGATAGCCTGTAGATAATAGATGTTCTTGAAAGTGAGCCCAGGACAAATGGATCAGTAAGACTTAATGGGGCTGGAAAAGAACCAGGCATGTATATTGAAAAGGCTCAGTGTGCCAGGCATGATGAATGAAAAGAATACTACATTTGAAACCTATCCTGGCAAAAATAACTAAATATAGAACTATTAGTATAACAGGGGAAATATCACTGGCTTCCACACATTGATGAAGAGGCAGAATTCTGGCTGGACTTAGATATTTCAGAGTTGTAGAATAAAATCCCCAAAGACAGTGGAACAAAGTTTAAATCAATTTTGAAGGTGAGAAGTTGTGATGAGATATATGTTATTAATTTATGAAAACAATAGAACACATTCTAAGATATGGTGAGTCAGAAAACATACCATCCATATAATTCTTTTCAAATTACTTAAAGATATACTTCAGTTGACTGAAAGGTGGAGCAAAAAGGAAGTATGGAGAAGTCGTGACAAGAAAAGATCAGCAGGGAATCTTAAAATAGCAAAAACAGAAACACGTTAATATTGTTCTCATAAATACAGGTTATCATGTAACACACACTGTTAATTTTTGCTTTTGAATTACTTTATATGACATATGACAGGACAAATAATTTACAAAATGTGAAACTAATAATGACGTAATATAATTGAATAGAATAAACATAACTTATAGAGTAAAAGCAAAAAAATTAATACTAATGCATGTCTATGTTTCAAGAAAGTGAAAAGACAGGAGTAAGGGAGCTGAGAGGTATCGAAGTGATAAACGCATTGCCTTAAGAATGTGGCACATTGCAGATATTTTGACTTTGACATTAAAAAAACAAGTCAAAATACATTGGGAAAACTTGTGGGTAAATATTGGAACTAAAAACCATTATGATGCCTTCCAAAATAGAAGGCAGAAGCAAAAAAAAAAAAGACAAAAATAATATTAAAACATTAAAAAGAGAAATATCAAATTATGATAGAAATAAGACCACCTATATTCCTTTTTTTATTATTATTATACTTCAAGTTCTAGGGTACATGTGCACAAAATGCAGGTTTGTTACATATGTACACATGTGCCATGTTGGTGTGCTGCACCCATTAACTCGTCATTTACATTAGGTATATCTCCTAATGCTATCCCTCCCCCCTCCCCCCGTCCCACAACAGGCCCCAGTGTGTGATGTTCCCCTTTCTGTGTCCAAGTGTTCTCATTGTTCAGTTCCCACCTATGACTGAGAACATGCGGTGTTTGATTTTCTTTTCTTGCGATAGTTTGCTGAGAATGATGGTTTCCAGCTGCATCCATGTCCCTACAAAGGACACGAACTCATCCTTTTTTATGGCTGCATAGTATTCCATGGTGTATATGTGCCACATTTTCTTAATCCAATCTATCATTGATGGATATCTGCATTGGTTCCAAGTCTTTGCTATTGTGAATAGTGCCGCAATAAACATACATGTGCATATGTCTTTATAGCAGCATGATTTATAATCCTTTGGGTATATCCCCAGTAATGAGATGGCTGGGTCAAATGGTATTTCTAGTTCTAGATCCTTGAGAAATCGCCAGACTGTCTTCCACAATGGTTGAACTAGTTTACAGTCCCACCAACAGTATAAAAGTGTTCCTGTTTCTCCACATCCTCTCCAGCACCTGTTGTTTCCTGACTTTTTAATGATTGCCATTCTAACTGGTGTGAGATGGTATCTCATTGTGGTTTTGATTTGTATTTTTCTGATGGCCAGTGATGATGAGCATTTTTTCATGTGTCTGTTGGCTGCATAAATGTCTTCTTTTGAGAAGTGTCTGTTCATATTCTTTGCCCACTTTTTGATGGGGTTGTTTTTTTCTTGTAAATTTGTTTGAGTTCTTTGTAGGTTCTGGATATTAGCCATTTATCAGATGAGTAGATTGCAAACATTTTCTCCCATTCTGTAGGTTGCCTGTTCACTCTGATGGTAGTTTCTTTTACTGTGCAGAAGCTCTTTAGTTTAATTAGATCCCATTTGTCAATTTTGGCTTTTGTTGCCATTGCTTTTGGTATTTTAGTCATGAAGTCCTTGCCCATGCCTATGTCCTGAATGGTATTGCCTAGGTTGTCTTCTAAGGTTTTTATGGTTTTAGGTCTAACATTTAAGTCTCTAATCCATCTTGAATTAATTTTTGTATAAGGTGTAAGGAAGGTATCCAGTTTCAGCCTTCTACTTATGGCTAGCCAGTTTTCCCAGCACATTACAGATATTTTGACTTTGACGTTAAAAAAGTAAGTTGAAATGCATTGGGAAAACTTATGGGTAAATATGGGAACTAAAAACCGTTATGATGCTTTCCAAAATAGAAGGCGGAAGCAAAAAAAAAAAAAAAAAAAAAAAAAAAAAGACAAAAACAACATTAAAACATTAAAAAGAGAAATATCAAAATATGATAGAAACGAGACCACCTATATTACTTTTTTCTTTTTTTTTTTGAAACAGAGTCTTACTCTGTCGCCCAGGCTGGAGTGCAGTTGTGCGATCTCAGCTCACTGCAACCTCTGCCTCCCAGGTTCAAGCGATTCTCCTGCCTCAGTCTCCTGAGTAGCTGGGATTACAGGCACATACCACCACGTCTGGCTAGTTTTTGTATGTTTATTTGAGATGGGGTTTCACCATGTTGGTCAGGCTGGTCTCGATCTCTTGACTCGTGATCCACTCACCTCGGCCTCCCAAAGTGCTGGGATTACAGACCTGAGCCACTGCGCCTGGCTGACCACCTGTATTAACTTTTAACCACAAATGAAATAGATGACTTCTTAGAAAAACATAAAAGCAGAACTGTCTCAAAAACCAACAGGGTATCTGCATAGCCTAATAACCATAAAAAAAGCATATAATGTGGCCAACACTATCTCCCTAGTGAACTCTGGGTCACATCCTTTTGGTTAATTTCAAACACTATAAATTATTCCAGAACATCTTAAAAGGTAGAAAATTTTACAAGTTATTTTACCGAGGTAGGATAACCATAAATCTGACTTTGACAGTATGTATGTAAAAACTATAGATCAATCTCATGTATAAATACAAGTGCCAAATCCTCTGCAACGGTGTCTTAAATACCCTCTGCGATGGTATATGAAATCTATAACAAACAAAAATAAACCCTGCAGAAATTTTGAAATCAGTTTAGTTTGTTTTTCACAGTGGTCTGAGTATTGAAATTCTGTTAAATTATATTGTTGTACCTGGGGATTGAGCAAGTGAGTAATACTGTTGGAGGAGAGAGACACCAGTGTAGACCCGAGGAAGACAAGGAAGAAGCCTGTGGGATTGGATGGGAATTAGAGGTGTATAATACATATAAATCATGTGTCTGGGAAAATTTCCTGCCCTGGGATTAGGGGGAACAAGCACCATGTGCTTGACTGGATTTCAGAATTGCTATAAATGAGTGACTGCTGCTTCCTTCTTCCCTGTTTGAATGGAAATATCTTTAGTGGCTATTCTGTCCCTGTTTCATCACTGAATGTTGGCAGCAGGGGAGAAACAATTTTTCAGCTCACTGGACTCTAGTTTAAGAGGAGGTGCACCCAAGGAGCTGCACCCAATGAACCATACTTGAGGAGCCTTTTTCTTTCATTTTCCCTTTCCCTTCCCTTCCCTTCCCTTCCCTTCCCTTCCCTTCCCTTCCCTTCCCTTCCCTTCCCTTCCCTCCCCTCCCCTCCCCTCCCCTCCCCTCCCCTCCCCTCCCCTCCCCTCTGCTTCCTTTTTACCTCTCCCCTCCTCTCCTCTTTTTCTTTTCTTTTCTTTTTTTTGGCAGGGTCTCTGTTGCCCAGGCTGGAGTGCAGTGGTGCATTCTTGGCTCACTGCGACCTCTGCCTACCAGGCTCATCCTTCCACCTCAGCCTCATGAGTAGCTGGGACTAGAGGTGTGTGCCACCATGCCCAGCTAATTAAAAACAATTCTTTTGTAGAGATGAGGTTTTGCCATGTTGCCCAGGCTGGTCTTGAACTCTTGGACTCAAGCGATCCACCTGCCTCGGCCTCCTAAAGTGCTGGGATTTCAGGTGTGAGCCACTGTGCCCAGTCCCAAGAAGGCTTATCTGAGCTGAACCTGATTTAGATAAGGAGGTCCTGGACTTTGTTCCAATGCTGCAGAGAGTGAGACTTCTGAGGGGAGAGGAGTGTCCTTTGCATATGGGAAAGATGGGAACTACTTGGCTAGAGGGTGAACTACAGCAGATTGCTTCTAAAGATGGGAGCAGCAATGTTTCCTCCCAAGCAACATTCTCCTTTGAAATGTGACTTTGTCACTCATTGCATCAAGAGGTAGGGTCTATTCTCCCTCCTTCTGAATCTGGCCCTGTGACTTGCTTTCACCAATAGATTGTGGCAGAAGTGACAGTGTGCAAGTATGAATGGGGTCTGCCAGGACCATGTGGAGCAACGGTAAGCATCCTCATAGATGATGCCTGAGTTCCTGACCCACAGTATAGTGAGCAATAAAATGTTTTTCTTCTTTTCAAGCAGCTAAGCGTTGAGGTCATTTGTTACACAGCAATGATAGCTAATACACCATCCAAGAGTGCTGGGGTCATTTCAAAACAACTCAGGAGGCAAACTGAGGAGATTCTCACTAAAAGTGGGGAACTTGCACAGGCCTGTAATCCCAGCTACTCAGAGGCTGAGGCAGGAGAATCACTTGCACCCAGGAGGAGGAGGTTGCAGTGAGCCAAGATGGCGCCACTGCACTCCAGCCTGGGTGACAGAGTGAGACCCTGTCTCAAAAAAAAAAAAAGTGGGCAACTCAAGCATCAATAAAGGTATTAACTGCAATGGTTTGTAGCATACTACATATATTTAAATATGTGGGTTCAAGATAATTCAATAAAAGAATCCCTGGTTACCTTTAGAGGATATTAGGAAATCAATTCGTTATTTTGAACATTGCTAAATAAAAAAAACAAACATTTATCCTATTTTTTGTACAACCTATATTTCAAGATAACTGAATATTGTTAAAGAGAAGCTATTTGCAGAAGAAATCTGACCAATAATGATGTAAAAAAATAAAATCGGAATCTCATCATTTTGCAACCCCTGATGATATCACGGATTTAGGTATTGCTAAAACCGTCAGGTGACAGATGATCAGGCTGATAACACCTGCGCCTGCTGCCAAGTTTAACATAAAAAATAATACTAAATTCCCCCTGCAAAGCCTGCGTGTGCCCAAAAAACCCCAAATCAAAGCAAACCCCTCAAAACCTGAGTTAAAGCAAGCTTCTAGATCTAACTTCTAGCTTACAAAAAATGAGAGGAAGAGAGGACTATACCACTAAGAAAATGCAACCAGAAAATTCCAGATTGCAAAAAATGTAATAGGACCAAAACCCTGAGTTCTTCAGTAAATACATGACAATTTATAGCTTAAAAGAGACATAGGGACAGGTGAGCCAAATGCAATGTGTGCAACTTGTTTAGATCCTGATTTGAACAAATCAACTCTAAAAAGACTTCTGAGACAGTGGGGAGAATGTGAACTATGAGAACTATGATGGGGTATCTGATGGTGTGAAGGAAGTACTAATTTCGTTTTTTTAGTGTGGATATAGCCTTTTAAAGGTAAAATGAAAGAATAAAGGTGGTGGAGGGTGTGATAATCCTATGAAGGGTCTGGGTTTGGGTCCTGAGGGCAGCCAATTACATCCCAGACTCACGGGCAATTAATAGTCCAAGCCAGGGTCCCATCAGCTGAATCCTGAGGTTGCGATGCTTCAGTCTTTTCAGAACAGGGTAAAGGAAGAGTCCAGAAACCACATTCACTGGCTTCGTGAAAACCAAGCACGTCTTTGAGATCTTTTTCAAATTCTGCCTCTAAGTCAAGTCCTGCCTTGCCAAAGTCGGAAGCCTGAAAGAGAAAAAAGCAAACACACACGTTGAAGGATGAAAGATTACAGCCATCAGATCACTCATACATTTTTTTGTTTTTTGTTTTTGAGTCAGGGTCTTTCCCTGTCACTCAGGCTGTGGTGCAGTGGCACCATCATAGCTCACTGCAGCCTTCAATTCCTGAGTGCAAGCTATCCTCCCACCTCAGCCTTCTGAGTAGCTGAAACTACAGGCACATGCCAGTATGCCCAGATTTTTTTTTTTTTTTGAGACGGAGTCTCGCTCTGTCACCCAGGCTGGAGTGTAGTGGCCGGATCTCAGCTCGCTGCAACCTCCGCCTCCTGGGTTTACGCCATTCTCCTGCCTCAGCCTCCCGAGTAGCTGTATGCCCAGATTTTTAAAACTTTTTTTTTTTTCCAGAGATTGGGGTGAGGAGGTCTTGTTATGTTGCTCAGGCTGGTCTCAAACTCCTGGCTTCAGGTGATTCCCTCACCTCGGACTCCCCAAAAGCTGGGATTGCAGATGTGAGTCACTGCTCCCAGTCTCACTCATATTTTTTTAGGAGGCCCAGCAGTGAGGCAGAATGGGTGGGGAGACGCTGCTACTAAAATGTTGAAAAGCATGAGATTCCACCTGGTTGTTAACTTCCACCTGACAGGTGATTTGGACTGAAGGTTTAGTTTTGATCATGGCAAATCTGAGCATGGTGCAAAATAGCTTAAAAAATGTTTTTAAATGCATTTCTTGAAAGCCCACTCACTGTTGAAGGATGACCCTCTGTTCTCCAGGGCTAAGGATACGTCAGGCACTGAGTGGTTCTCTGTTCAACCCTTTCTCCCTGCAGCTCCATGAATGGGTACCCGTTTACAGTTTGTGGTTTGTGAACATGCCAACTCCTGGCATGGAAGAAGGGAAGGAAGCTGGGTGGAGATGAAAATCTTCCTTAGGTACCTCCCAAGAAATATCTGCACAAGTGAGGATAAAAATCAGGACAAACTGGCCGGGCGCGGTGGCTCAAGCCTGGAATCCCAGCACTTTGGGAGGCCGAGACGGGCGGATCACGAGGTCAGGAGATCGACACCATCCTGGCTAACACAGTGAAACCCCGTCTCTACTAAAAAAAATACAAAAAACTAGCCGGGCGAGGTGGCGGGCGCCTGTAGTCCCAGCTACTCGGGAGGCTGAGGCAGGAGAATGGCGTGAACCCGGGAGGCGGAGCTTGCAGTGAGCCGAGATCCGGCCACTGCACTCCAGCCTGGGCGACAGAGCGAGACTCCGTCTCAAAAACAAAAAAAACAAAACAAACAAACAAACAAAAAATCAGCACAAACCAAACTTACAAATGTTGGGATTGCAGGATAGCTCAACTAGCTGGTCCCTTCTTAGTAAAGGAGGATGAAACCAACACTGTATCTGAAGGTAATTCCAGATGTTTGAGTCCAGTGAGAAATGTATGTGTAAAAAAATGCAAGCATGAGTATCCAGGAAGTTTAACGGATTTTATTTTGTTTACTTATTTGTTTTCATATTTCTGAGGCAGGAAGAACAATGTAGGCATAAACTGCCCTTCCTTCCAGTTTGAACAAAGAAGCTGGATGCCATTTACCGCTCGCGTTGGGAACAAGCTGCCGATCTGGGAACAGAGCCTGTTTTTTTTCAGCTCCTGTTCCGGAGATCCCTCCCCTGTCCTGCTTGCTGTTCTTTTTGCCACTCACTCCTTGCCTCCAGGAATGCTGAGGTGGTTTTTTTCTGTAATCCTTGTCTCGTTTGAGCTCTCCCCAGGGTGAAACTGAGGGTAATCTTTGCAAAATTCTGCTGTCCCAGAAATTAGGGGAAAGTAGAAAAGATGCAAAAAGGAAGCAGGACATGCCCTTTACCTTGTGAAATGTTTTATGGTTGCGGAAGATCAGGCGCATGTCCCGCACAAACTATGCCACCGTGTACACTTCCGTATTCAGCCTTTCCTTAACCAGGTCCGACCGCATTGCTTCCTGAAAGGGCTCACCGTAATCGCGAATCAGGACAAAGCCACCAGAGAGGAGACGTCAGCACAGCTGTCATCACTGGAAAGGATCCAGTTTAAATACAATCCAAGTCTTCATTTCCAGGGTCATAATGATAACACCATCTGACTTCTGTAGGCCAGCTATTGTTCTAGGCACCAGATAAACTAAATTGTAAGCCAAGCGTATGAATATGTAATCTCCACATTTATGGGTACCATAAAGAATGATGCCCATTTCACAGATGAGGAAACCGAGGGATGGAGAGGTCAAGGAGCCTACCCAAGATGTCTCAGCTAGAAAGTGGTAGAGCTGGGGTGGGAACCCACACAGTTTGGCATCTGTGGCTCTTGTTTTTTTTTGAGATGGAGTCTTGCTTTGTCACCCAGGCTGGAGTGCAGTGGTGCCATCTTGGCTCACTGCAACCTCTGCCTCCCAGGTTCAAGTGATTCTCCTTCCTCAGTCTCCCGAGTAGCTGGGATTACAGGTGCCCGCCACCACGCCTGGCTAATTTTTGTATTTTTAGTAGAGATGTGGTTTTGCCATGTTGGCCAGGCTAGTCTTCAACTCCTGACCTCAAGTGACCTGCCCGCCTCAGCCTCCCAAAGTGCTGGGATTACAGGCATGAGCGGCTGCCCCCAGCTGGCCTCTGTGACTCTTAATCTCTAGTAGGAAAGACATTCCTCCTAAAGAGAAGATGAAACTGAGATACACAGGAGGGGCAGCAACTTGCCCGGTATCCCATAGCCCGTGAGTGCTAGGGTGGAGTTTGAGCCAGGTAGTCCCTCTCCAGAGCATGCAGCGAAACCCCCGCTGCCCTGCTCCACTGCTGCCATGCTGTCCTTCTCTTCTGTTCTCCAGCTTCCTGAGCAAACTGCAGCACCTGCCGGACTCAGCCCCCACATTTCTCAAAATGCATTTTATGCAAAAGAACTGTAAAATGTGACTTACATTAAATGGAATGCCCGTACAAAAGGAGCTTTGTGGATGACAGTAGGCCTTCAAGAGGAGGAACTCACATTTCTGTAAAACGTGAAGAGGGCTTGAAAGTGAAATGCAGCTTGGAAACAGTGAAGCCAGGTGAATGTCTAGACATGCACGTGGACGGGGCAGCCAAACCCAGTCAGCATTACAACCGTGCTTGCCAAGGCTCACGGGGTGTGTGGGATTTTGTTCAGACTCTGTGTTTGGGCATTAAATCGTCATCCTCTACTGGGAGACATTGAAGCCTCCCTTTGGTGCAATGCCCTGACCCTGTGCCTGTTGGTGCTTCTCATGTGAGAAGGGAAAAGCGTAGGCTTGGGGTTGGCATCCAACTTACCAGCTGGTCCTGAGGCTGCATCTGCCTCTCCAGGATCTTAGATACATGATGACACTGTTGGCTTCCTGAAGACCTCTTCATCCTGCAGAAGGTGCAACTCCACAGCATCCTGAGAGGTTGGACATAAGGTGAACAGAGGGCAAGGCCCCTGGAAATGGCCACCATTCCTGTGGCTGCCACTGTCTTCCCTCAGGAAGGATGGGCTCAGCCATGAGGGTGGGATACCTCCCAGAGTGTCCAAGATCCCCACATGGGGTCTCCAGCATTGACCCTTCCCTCGCATCAGTGGTAGCAGCAGGTGGGCAGCCTGAGGAAGGTGGTGTCACTGTAAGCGTGGGCTCTCTTTTCCCTGTCTGAGCTGCTGGGAGCACAAAGGAACCCAGGCACCGGGCTTGAGTGTCAGAATCTGGGCTTTCACCTGCAGGGACCTCAGGCCCCCATCAGCCTGATGAGACCATGGTGAAATGTGTGACAAGCCGTGCTTCCTGTCTTTTCTGAGCAGGCACAGAACATAAGCTGGCTTTTCCTGTCCCCAACTCCCCTTGGACAGGAGTCCCTGCTGTCCAAGGAATAACATCCTAGGAAAGGGCACCTCCAGGGGCAGAAGCAGTGTGGGGCCAAGAGGCTCGCTGGCAGCCTCAGAGACCCAGAGAGGCCCAGAGTCTCTGGCACCAGACTGCTCTGCATCACACCCTTGTCTGCAATGCTCACAGGTCCTGCCCTTTCCATCTGGAGGTGAGTGCTGTGTGCCCGAGGCGGGGCTGCATCCCACTCACCTCTTGGCTTCCACAGGGGGGATGTGACAGTCTTCACGGAAGACTCGTGGACAAGTACCGCAGCAGAGAAGTTATCCCCCTTTACGGCACACCTCGCATTCATCCAAGTTTTTCCACTGCAAGGGCAGATCATGTGGGCACCGCTAGGACCAGCTGCCACTACCACTGATGACCCAGGAATGCTGACGCTGTGGGGTCCTAGAACACATCATTTTGTGTGTGCCACAGTGGATATCCAAACCCAATTTCTGGTGGGGGAAGCTGATGCCACCTCCCTGGGGGAAACTGCAAGACAAATGGCACAACGAGCAGGGAGTCTGGGTGGTGACCACCGCCACTAGGGCTTTTCTTCTCTGGCTGTGGCTTGCTAACGGGTTCTGCCGTGTTTTGAGCTGTGCTGCCGCCTGCTGGCAAGCTTGTGCTTTGAGCTGGGCCACTCTGGGCTGCATTTGCTGAGCCCCACCAAGCCTCTGTTAATAGATCTAACTGACCAAAGTAAGAAATGATGATAACTGGCATTTAGGTGCAGGAGTATGGGAACTGTTTTTCCTGGTGCCTTGCCTAACTGCCTAGGGTCGTAACATAACATGGCCCTAAAATGTTCCATAGTGGGCATGGATGCTGTGACCCAGTAAATAACAAATTAAAATAATCAAAATTAAGTTATCTTTGGCACTTACAATTGGCTTTACAACATGGAACTCCATGGACCTTCTCTGTTAAAATATTTAATACTGATCAATATGAATTAAAACACGGCTTTCAAGGACGAAAACTCATTATGGAAGATCTATTTAGAGAAGGGATGATTATCCCCACTGTTTCTCCATTTCACAACCCAATTTGGTCTGTTCTTAAGCTTGGAAAGAATGAATGATGCCTCACGGTGAATTACTACAACCTGAATGCTGTGACCCCATCTGTGAAGGCCCAATGTTATTGAAATTACTGACTCCATCCACTTAGCAAGTAGTAAATACTCTGCAGGCATAGATTTGACTAATGTGTTCTGTTCAGTGCGTATTTCAACAGCATCTCACCTGCAGGTTGCTTTCAGCCCCGAAGGGACACAATAGACCATTATCTGGCTACCACGGGGTACCTCGATAGTTCTGCCACCGCACACAATCTGCAAGCAGGATTTGAACTGCATCTGACCTTCTCTAGGAGCACAGGTGTAACATCACCCTGAAGACACCCTTCTCTCAGCACATTCATGTGACGCACTCAGGACATTACTCACAAGGAGCTCACAGAAAAGGATGGGGTTTGTGTTTCCGCATGGATGTGGGATTCAACTAAAACAAAAAAGTATAGGCCACTGCCCCAGGCATAGTACAGGGATCCACCACCAATTTCTGGCCATTATCTGGTCAGTCGAGGGATGCTCCATCCCTGACACTGTCAAAAAATAATTATTGACCCTCTAAGTACCCACAGTGTTCTAATAAGCCTCCCAGCATCCTTTAGTCCTCTTGAGTTCCGGAGGAAACACATCCCTCATTTATAGATTTTAGGTAAGCCCATTTATGCTGTTACTTGCAAACAGACCCACTTTCAGTGGGGCTCCTTCTAACAAAAGATTCTAGAATCTGTCAAACTGCAATACAGCAGGCATTAGTGCCCTCCTGAGTCTCATTCACTGTGGAGGCTTTGGCAACCTCCTCTCATGCCTCCTGGCGTCTCTGGACCACCCATGATGGCCATGGACTTTTGGTACAAAAAATCATAAAACCCCAAAAGCTGTTTTCCTCAGCCCCACACTATATGCTGATAGAGTGGCAACTGCTGGCTGCAACCAGGCCCTTCTGGAGATGGAGGCTGTCACACATAGAGCCTGTGGCTCTTTACACCAGCTGCCCGTCATGTGTGGGTCATGGAGGCAGCACCCTGCAGGGCAACCACAAAACACATTTTGGGAGTACCAGCATCGGTCTCTTTGCTGTACACATACATATGTGAGACTGTAGTGGAGACGGACGGACGTGCTGCCGAGCAGCAGTGACACTGGATGATGGGGTTGTGGGCAAGGCCTTCACTGGCCCATTCTCAGTCAGATAAACGTTCATCTTATTCTCCCCACCTGGCCCTGGAAGGTGGGACTGAGAGGCTGGGTCAAACATGCCCCTGGCTATTATGCGCTGACATGTGGCATTAGGAGAGTTAGAGGGTATTATCATGTTGGGATTTTAATTAATGGTCTAGATTTTAAAGATCCTTTTTTTTTCTGGTTGCAAAAGTAACAAATGGTCATTATAGTAATTCCAACTGTACATAAATGTATAATACAGAAAGCAAATGCCCCTGTGATCTCATCTCAAAATAAGTGCAGTTGAGTCTTTCGGCTATTTTTTCACTCGTAGACCTACCTACACAGTCACATAAGCAACAAGGGGCTCCTTCCCCACACGTCACAACTAGCATTAAGTGTCCTGAAGCTCTCCTGAATGCAGAACCCTCTGGTGGCTTTCCATTGATTGAATGATAACTCCATACTTATGAATCCATGTATTTAAACAAATATCTATATCAAAGGTCTAATATTCTATAAGAAAAGTTTTTAAAAAACCATTCTGTAACTGTATCAGTTTATTCTGCAATACTGATAGAACTTGTGTTTGGCCCTAATTTTTTGCTATTATGATGTTACACTGAACACCCCTGATTCTCGGGGTATTTAAGATCAGCATGGGAAAGATGATTTATATAATAAATGGCATTGGGAGACTAGTGCCTTAAACTTTGAATGAATCCAGCCTGGTCAGGCCAGCCTCCAGGGCAACATGGGGGAGGCACCATTGTCTCTGCTGGAAGTTCACAACTAATGGGAAGCTCGTGAGTGGAACTGATGTCTGGAGAACACATCTAAGCAAGCAGAAGAGGTTGAGGACGGGAGTTAGTGCAGCCAACAGATGACTGCCATTTCCAGCTGTAGGGAGGCCCTGTAGAGACAAAGCTCAGTTCAAAGGCATCATTCCATCCCGGTGCTACCAATAAGAAGCACGGAGCACTCAGCAATACTTGGTGTGCAATCATGGATGATCCTCTTGTCCTTTCATATACTGTTCCTGTCTATTTCAAGGCCTTTTTTTGCTTTTCATGCTAGAGCATTTTTTTTTTTTTTTTTTTTGAGACAGTATCTTGCTCTGTAGCCCCAGCTGGAGTGCAGTGGCATGACCTCGCCTCACTGCAACCTCTGCCTCTAGAGCTCAAGTGATCCTCCCACCTCAGCCTCCTGAGTAGCTGAGACTACAGGTGCATGCCACCACACCTGGCTAATTTTTGTATGTTTTGTAAAGAAGGGGTTTTGCTCTATTTCCCAGGCTGGTCTCAAACTCCTGGGCTCAAGGGATCCACCCACCTTGGTCTCCCCAAGTGCTGGGATTACATCACTCTGTATAGCAATACAGAGTCTCACTATATCACTCAGGCTGGCCTTGAACTCCTGGGCTCACGCAATCCTCCTACCTCAGCCTTAGCTGGGACTACAGGTGCACACCACCATTCCTGGCTGATTAAAAAAAATGTGTTAGAGATGGGGTCTTGCTATGTTACCTAGGCTTAGAGTATTTTATTTCTGACACCTTTGGTTTATAGCCATCCAAATATCCAGATCTTTTTTCTAAAACACATGGACATGATGAGCTTTTTCATTTAATTTTTATTTTAAAGTCATTTGCTTCCCCATCCCAAATTAACTATGAAAATTAATTGTTTTGAAGATGCCATGCCCAAATGTGGAGGTGACTCAGAGCTGGGAAACTCAGGAGCTCTAAGGTGAACCTCCAGACAGGGAAAGTCTGCAACATGGTGACTGGGAGGGTAGTAGATATTCACTTGCTATTTAACTGTCTCTTGAGATTTTTTCTTGGAGGACAGAGCAGAAGTCCATTCTGAAAGACAGAAGGAGTCAATGAATGAGGTTATTCTGGAGGTGTTTCTTCTGTAGATACTGGCCTTCCCACTTCCTATGAGTATCTGTACCCAGACATCACACTGGATCTCAAACCCAAGGTGTCAAAAAGAAAAATTAGCTCCCTCCCCCAGTCAGTTTTTCTTCTGGACCTCATTTAGTGATAAAATCACTTTTTCCCCTGTCACTCAAACCCATGACCCAAGTTCTTCTTTCTTACTCTTTCCCATCCATTCCTTTCTTCTTCCATTTTTCCTCTCTAGATAAAATCTTTATGATTTCATCCTAGTGATAATTTCTTGAGTGTTACTGAGAGGGGCCTTGTGTTGGGTCCTGGGATCACAGAGACTAGTTGTTCTCAGGACAGGAATAGCCTGCTGTGGACGCGCAGCAGAGAGATGGACCATGGACTGGGCAGTCTGGAAATGCTGCAGGGGGCCAGATGAGCTGGCCTTGAGTAGGTGTCAGGTAGAGGATGCAGAGGAGCGATCGCAGGCATCTGTTCAGCTAGTTTCTTTTGAGCGTCTTACATCTCTCTTGACCTCAAAGCCCTCTGCCTGCATTTGAAGTTCCTGCGCTCCTTTACTTGCATTTAAAGTTCTCCACCATGAGGAACAATCTGTGCTCCTAACTTTGTCACCCACAATTTTTTTTCTAGGAACATTTAACTCCTTTTAAACCATGCTCTTGAATCCTAATGGGAGCTCTTCACATTTCTGCTGTTAAAACCCCACTTCTCCTTCAAGGATTTCAACCCGTCACCTATCTGTCGCTTGTCATTATAATACCTTCAGCAGCTCTCCTAGGGTCGTTCCTCCGCAACGTATACTCCGATTCCAGTTCTTTGTGTTTCTTCCTTTTCCTTCCATTTCAAATTCTTTTAGTGTTAACCAAGTTCCATCCTCATTCTGAATGCACTTCACTGAGGATCCTGCAAGAAAAAGCCCATTCTTGGATCTACCACCATTCTCTGTGAATTCACCCTAAACCTGTTCATCCTAATTGTGGCCTTCTACCTTTCCAGGTCAAGAGAGACTTCCTCTGTGAGGTGGAAGCAGTAGCAGGGGAGTCTGAAGGCCTCCTCTCTTGGACTGAAGCCAGCCCTAAGGCCTGACTGAGTGGTGAGGGGGTGGGACAGATTTTGCATTCACGTGGTGCCTACATGCAGCAAGGACATGGCTGTCAGTACAGGAGGGCCCACGGGTGACTTCCAGGTGGGAGTGGAGTGATCTGGTTGCCAAAAATACCATGATGTGGAAGAGTGTGGAAATTCCTTTCTAAGAAGTGTTTCTTCTTCTGCAGCCTAGGGTCCATTTCCTGATCAATTATACACCCAGGTGTTTTCCTCCCTTCTAGTGAGTCCTTCATCTAGGGATTCCAAAGAGCAGAAGACCAAGGAACTCACCGTGTTTCATTTTCTTCTTATATAAAATCCCTTTCGCCTCACCACAGGTCACCGGGAGCTTAGAACAGTGAAAATCCACAGTGTCACTTTTGGGTTTTCCTGAAAGTAGAGGAGAACAGTTTCATGTTATTCAGTCTTCATTCCATCTTCCTTTTGAATTCTCCCCTCCATGAATTCCAATAATGTACAGGGTACTGGGGAACATTCTCTGGTTAGTTTGCAGGAACTCTTTCATCTCGAGTGGCAAATAAGCTATGTGTACACAGCAGCCTGCAACAAACCACCACCACCGCCACCAACACTACAGCCAACAAAACATTTTAGTAGAACATATAGGGCTTCTTCAGTGAATGTGTCTTAATTTGCAAGTGAATTGGCTGCCACCGAATAGTCTTCTATTCTATAAGCATCCTGCTGATCTCTCTGTGCTGATGGAAGTTGCCTACCTAAAATATTTCTTTGCATTCATGTTGCCAGAGGAAAAAAAAATCTTCATTTATAATCTTATTTCCTGATTCAAATGAAGACTTGGGTGAGTGAGGTGGCTGGCACTGAGGGGATGGTGTCAGTCTTCATTATTTGCTGTTTCTTTTCATTTTATTGCTTCCCTGCTTCTTCCTTGATGAATAAAAGAAAACCCTGGAGAGCTCTGAACTAATTTCCCAGTTGCTCACAGAGCGGTCTGGCAACTCAGAATCCCTGGGTAGAAATCTGGAGTTTAGATTCAGGAGAAGCAGTTGCAAGAGGGTTTAAAATAAATCTCAGCAATTCCTGCTGCCTTCCCCTCCAACCTCACTATGGGTGAATTCATTAAAGAAAGACAGCAGGAGCTGTTTCTCTGGGGAGAAATGAAGGGGCTGTCCATGTCTTATGTTGAGTTACAGAGGATATTACACCTAAAATGAGCCTAGGAGAACATCTGGTCCAAGTCTCTCCCTTGCCTCAAACGGTTATTGAAAGAGCTAAAGGAAAACAAATGGCAAAACAAGAGCATTGATGGAAAGAGGAAGGAACAACATCAGTGGTGAAGAAGCCATTCATTTCTCTGGAAAGATACAAGGCAGGTAGAGTCAGACTGAGAAAGAAGGGACGCTGAGAAGTGAGGACGTAATCCCCCCGACAGAACCCTACAGGATGCCTGGCCTCACAGGAGCAGGGGCTGGCAGCAAGGCTAGGCATGGGGGTGGAAGGTAGGGGGGTGTGGGAACTTAGGGTGGGAAAAACTTTGTTTCAACAGCGGCCCTCTTGCATGGAGGGGCCAGCTCCACCATTTGTCTCTAGACTCTACTCAGTAAATACGGCACAGCAGATGAGAGCGTGTCCTTGGGAGCCAGACTAGGGTGCGGGCAGGGGTGGGGGCGGGAGGGGCTTATAATCCTGGCTCTGCCACTTACTAGAAGGATTACCTAAGTGTGAATTACTGTTATCAAATTTGAGTGGGAAAGTTGCTGCAGCAGGTTCCTAATGTGGGTGAAAGGCGGAGCTCCAGGTGACTCTGGACCACTATTGCAAACCTTGAGGGAGATTAGCACAGCTATGGGGACCTTCTACAGTTCTCTGTCTCACAGAAATGTCTTCTCTAATTCCCTGTGGTGAATATAGCTTTAGTGAACACAAATGTCCCAAACACATTCACAAGCAGATGAGGGAGCAGGAGGTGGTTTTGGGGGCCATGGGTAGCAAGCGGATGTGCAGAGTCATGGGGACAAGCATCAGTCCCTTCCTTACCCAGTGGAGGCAAGTCATCAAGTGAAGTGGGGCCTTTAGGCCCAAGGACTTCCAAAGCCAACTGTCCTATGCCTCAGGGCAGCTTTCTGGCCTGTTCCCAATAGTGCTGAGTTTGGCTCAGTCTCACCTACTCATCTCAGCAACCAGGCCTTGAAGGATGAAACCCTGCAGCCCCAGGAACCCTGTGGGGGATGCTTGGGGCTCTCTAACATCAGCTGGTTCCTTTGTAAAGTGAGCTGCAGCAGCGGTGGATTTAGGTCCCCATTAGGAAGCGTGAGCAAACAATGAGGAACCTGCTGTGAAAAGCAAGCAATTAGAGAAGAGAGAGCTCAGGGAAAGGAAAAGCAAGGTGGAGAAAATTAAGAAGAAAAGCTGAATCCAGACGAGGAATAGCGGCATGGTAAAAAACGAATTCATAATCCAGAAGATCAACTCCGGGAATTCCTACAGAACATGGGGAAGAAGCACAAGGTGGAAATTATGCATGGAAAGACCACAGTCCTGGGGAATGATTTGGGAGCTCTATGATGTATACACAAGGGGTGTGGGAAGGGGATGGCAGGGGGTGGAGATGGGGTGGTGGTGGGTGGAGATGGGGTGGTGGGGGGTGGAGATGTGGTGGTAGGGGGTGGAGATGGGGTGGTAAGGAGAAAAGTGATAGTCAAGGAAATAGTAAGAGCAGCAGATGCACTGTGTCGTCTATCCTCACATGTGTAAGAATGAGAAGGCAACGACTGTCCCCATTTTATAGATGAGGGACTTGGGCTCAGATGTGGAGAGAGAATTGCCAGTGGTCACCACATTACATGAGGTGGAGCTGGCACTGGAATTGAGACAGGCCAGACCCAGTATCTAGCACTCTTTCCACATCATCAGAAATGCCACGAGACTCCACATCATACAAGCGACAGCAGCACAGATACTCTGTGTTTAATGAGAGGTTACAGATAGGGCAGAAGGGAGAAGAAACTGATGCTGAGGGACAACTGTCAACGTTTGCCAGGGCTCCTGCCTCCATCAGTGTTTGAGACGAGGTGGAATCTGGGTTCATGTACATTTTTCGTGTAAAGGAAAAAGGGCTGGAAATTGGAACACACAGGTTGATTTTAGCTCATTCAAGTCTTTTACCCTTTAATTGAATCTGTAAAACGGGCTGATAACACTTACTTATTATGGGAATTAAATGGCAAAATGTGGATCAGAGTGCTTTGCCAACTGTGACGTAAGGTACACATTTATATGTTCATCAGGACCTCTGCATAAAGTTGATGGGTTGTGCCCTGAGCAAGGACTCCATCCTTAAGGGGTGCTCTGATTCATATTAGAAACAGAATCAGTGTACCTGCTTAGTACAACAATCTTCCGGAAGATGGCAGAAAAGGGTTTGGTTTCAAGAATTGGCTGTGACAGATGAGGTAGTGAATTGAGGTAGGGGCACCTTTTTCTAACTCACACACATGCATCAGACGGGCCCAGATACTGGTGTTCATAACTTGATGAAGAAGTACCAGCTGTGTGAGGCATGGGGAGCTGGACATACAGCAACGGGCAAGACCCATCCGCTTACTGACCTCACGTGACTTTTGCACAGTGAACAGGCTGTGCACAGATCATTCATCACAGTTAAGATAAGTGCCATGAAGACAAAATGCAGGTCTTCACAAGGGCATGTCAGGGAGACCCACCCCCACCTGCTGGGAGAGAGAATGCTTCCCTGTGGAAGTGACATTTAAGGTGAGGTCTGAGGGCAAAGGTCTAATATCCAGAATTTACAAGGAACTTAAACAAATTTACAAGAAAAAAAAATAACACCTTTAAAAAGTGGGCAAAGGACAGGAACAGACACTTCTCAAAAGAAGACATTTATGCAGCTGATAAACATATGAAAAAAAGCTCCACATCACTGAGCATTAGAGAACTGCAAATCAAAACCACAATGAGATACCATCTCATGCCAGTCAGAATGGCGATTATTAAAAAGTTAAGAAACAACAGATGCTGGCAAAGCTGTGAAGAAATAGGAACACTTTTATACTGTTGGTGATAATGTAAATTAGTTCAACCATTGTGAAAGACCTCGTAGCAATTCCTCAAAGACCTAGAACCAGAAATACCATTTGACTCAGCAAGCAATCCCATTACTGGGTATACACCCAAAGGAATATAAATCATTCTATTATAAAGATACATGCATGTGTATGTTCACTGCAGCACTATTCACAATAGCAAAGACATGGGCTCAACTTAAATATCCATCAATTATAGACTGGGTAAAGAATATGTGGTACATATACACCATGGAATATTATGCAGCCATAAAAAGGAACAAGGTCATGTTCTTTGCAGGGGCATGATTAGAGCTTGTAGCCATTATCCTCAGCAAACTAATGCAGGAACAGAAAACTAAACACCGCATGTTCTCACTTATAAGTGGGAGTTAAACAATGAGAACACACGGACAAAGGGAGGGGAACAGCACACACTGGGACCTGTCAGGGGAGCAGGAGGGAGAGCACCAGGATAAATAGCTAATGCATGTTGGGCTTAATACCTATGGGATGGGTTGATAGGTGCAGCAAACCGCCATGGCACACATTTACCTATGTAACAAACCTGCACGTCCTGCACATGTATCCCAGAACTTAAAATAATTTTTTTTAAAGAAAAGGTGAGGTCTGAGGGTGTATAGCAAAGAAAGGGAGGAGGATAGGGGATTAGCTTTGGGGTTGGGGCTGGTGAGTGGGGAGGCTCATGTGAGGAGGCACTGAGCAGGAACGAGGTGGCAGCATTCAGTATCTGATGACCTATGCTGTGAGGAATCAGGCTGGTGTGACCCTAGAGATACGGGTAGGGGTGGTTTATGGGTGTTGGTGACATCCTGTGTCTTGAGTTGCATGCTGGGTATGTGGGTGCTTTTTCTCTGTATGTGAATCCATCAAGCTGTACTCTTAGGATACATGCATTTTCTGCAAGCACATCCACCAGTGCTACTCAATGCTCCAACCTACGATGGGATAGGGGCTTGATCAGAATCAATGCACTGCTGTTGCCACTGAGGAGTCTAGCTATGAAAACAGTGTGCTTAGCGTCACAGTTGGTTTACAAGCTCCTTATTCTCGTAGACCTGCAACCAACATGCTTGTCGACGACACCAGTCTGGGGTTCTCACCTTGGGTAGCACCTACTATACTTCGATAATGAATAAAAAGGGCCAATGTGGCTGGAGACTAAAAAAGGAAGAGAGGGTGACAAGAAATGACTCTGAAGAAGTGAGGTATAAAAGCAGAAGAAAAATAAATGCAAGAAGAGGAGTGGGAGGGAGAGGACAGAGATGCAAAGAGGCCTGAGGGACAGAGAGCCTGAAGCAAGCCCACGGTCCCAACCAACACAGGAGAAGGAACGAGAACACTGTCAGGCTCTGCTTGAATAAGGGTTTCCTTTAATTCCTAGAATGGAAGACATAGAAGTTTATTTTAGAACGTGACTTAAAGGTTTAGTGATCATCCTTAATCATCTTTGGGTCTTTGTGCAGCTCTGTGTTAAAGAATCCTTCCAAGTATGGAAGTAGCCACCATGCACAAGTGGGTGGGTTGTTAGGCTGGCGGCACTCCTGATGCACCCAATTCAGCTGGTATCCATGAGGGTGGAGAACAACTTCGGAGGAGAAGGACAAGGACGGTGGAAGAAGGGAGAGAGAAGGAGACAGCGGGTGGAGCCTGCAGCAGAGGCCAGGGCTCTGGGGAACCCAAGGGGGAGGCGCTGTGGCTTGCTTGCTTACTTCTTTTTTTTTTTTTTTTTTTGACGGAGTCTTGCTCTGTCGCCCAGGCTGGAGTGCAGTGGCCAAATCTCAGCTCACTGCAAGCTCTACCTCCCGGGTTCATGCCATTCTCCTGCCTCAGCCTCCCGAGTAGCTGGGACCACAGGCGCCCGTCACCTCGCCCGGCTAGTTTTTTTGTATTTTTTAGTAGAGACGGGGTTTCACTGTGTTAGCCAGGATGGTCTTGATCTCCTGACCTCATGATCCGCCCGTCTCGGCCTCCCAAAGTGCTGGGATTACAGGCTTGAGCCACCGCGCCCGGCCCTCTTGCTTACTTCTTCAGTGAATATTTTTCTGAAATTTCCTTTTTGAACTTGAACAGATATCTTTTTCCTTTTTCTTTTCTAAAAACAGAATTAATAATCACTTATAGCTACAAACGTAGATTTATAAGACTCATATGTTAACAATCTTAAAGTATTTTTTCCTGTTTTTCTACCAGTTTGGAGAGACAAGTTACATATGAGTCCTTATGAAAGGACTTCCTTGCAGCATTGACTAAGGAAATACAGCAAGCTCATGTTAAAAGACAGAAAAACTAAAAATACTACAGAAGCCAAATTTCCACTAATCAATATATATCTATATATTTACTACAAATACTAGAATAAAGGGATGTACAGGAGTCCCCCCCTTATCCACAGGCCATATGTTTCAAGCCCTCCAGTGGATACCTGAAACCATGGGTAGTGGACACCCCTGCAGATACTATGATTCTTCAATCTGATAACCAAGACTGCTACTAAGTGACTGATGGGTGTGCTGCGTATACAGTAAGACACACTGGATCAGGAGATGATTCACATTCCCGAGTGGGAACAGCAGGATGGTGCAAGACCATCACGCTACTCAGAACAGCACATAATTTTTAACTGATAAATTGTTTATTTCTGGAACTTTCCATTTAAGATTTTCAAACTGCAGTTGACTCCAGGTAACTGAAATCATGGAACAAAAAACTGCTTATAAAGGGGGGCTACTGTTTGACCTTATAAATATCATATAGGAAGGGCTTTTTAAGGAGGAAATAATGGGCATAAAGCAGTGGTTAACACTGGCTGATTTTGCTCTCAGGGATATCTGGCAATGTTTGGAAATCTTTTTGTTTGTCAGGACTGGGAAGCAGGTGCTACTGGCATCTAATGGGTAGAGGCCAGATATGTTGCTAAACATCCGATGACACACAGGACAGCCTCCGAAGCAAAGAATTATTCAGTCCAAAATGTCAATAATGCCAAGATTGAGAAACTCTGGCATAAATCATACTGCTAAAGGTAAACTGATTTGTCTAGCTAACTAAGCAGATGGCTCCACAACCAAAAGCTTCTTAAGTTCAAAGACAGAAACAAAATCAGAAAAACTGCAATAATTATAACAAAGGGTTAATCTCCCTAACTGATTAAACAAAAAATGGCCAGTCCTATAGAAAAATGGGCAAATTCAAACAGACGACCCTCAAACGAAAAAATCCCAATGTCAAATTTATTTAAGAAACAGGTAAATTGGTAAAGATAGGCTAGGTAATGCTGTGGTAATTCACGATGCTCCACAGGTGTCAGCAAACTATGGTCCAAGGGCCAAATTGGCCTACTGCCTGTTTATGTAAATAAAGTTTTATTGGAATACAGTCACACCCATTTGTCTATATATTTGCCTCTGGCTGCTGTCATGCTACAAAGGCAGAGTCGGGTAGGTGCATCTTCTGGGTCCTTTTTGGAAAAAAATTGCCAAGCTCTGGTTTACAATGACAAAGGTTTACTTCTCTCTCATGCTGTTTGTTCATCATAAATTAGATGAGGCTCAGCCCTACATCACTGACACTCATGGCTCCTGCAGACAGAGCAGCCTCTGTCTAGAACATTCCTGGTCTTGGGCAGACAGAAAGGAGACAAAGGGGCTTTTAAAGCCTTGGCCTGAAAGTGGCTCTCTAACTTGGGTCCACATTTCTTTGGCTAAGTTATCACATGGGCATTCCTGAGTCCACAGGGCAGGGCTGTGGACTTCTGAGGAGGTGGGGCACTGGAACACTGGAGAACTGTAATATAACCTACCACAGCATGTTCGATCACCTGCCTAGTGCAAAGAAATTCAAAGGGAAACACCAGTGGAATATCACTCTTCACCTTTGGCAGTCATCATAGACACATCTTGTTATCTCCTGTGTTGGTGAAAGTGGAGGGAAAGGGTGTCTATATGATGTTAAAGGGAGTATAAACAGATAATTGAGGCAATTTGACAACAAATATGTCCTAATTTAAAAATGCAGACTTGACCAAGCAACTTCACTTCTAGAAATGAAACATTAAAAAATAATTCTGCAAATGTGTCCACTTTGAGGATTGGGGCCACTTCCAAGACTGGGTTGGCCAGAACCAGAAAGGAGTCTCCCAAACTCAAGAGAGTAGTGGCGACTCTAATAATAGAAATGAAAACAGCAGACACTGGGGAGTGGTCATGTAAATCCACGTGGCAAAGCCAAGGTGAACTGCACCCCGAGAACAGTTCTTCCAACAGCCACTGTCACATCAACAGATCCATGCTCTGTCTTCATGTCCCTCTTGTCTGTACATCTCCCTCGTTCTTTACATATCTATCTGACCCTGTACGTGCTCCAGGAGACCCTCATACATTGAGCTATTCAAATAGCAGATTTCATCATTAGTCTTACCTTTCGATCTGGACTTCTGGGCACATTCAGTTCTTGCCTTTTGGACGCTCATCATGACCTTTGAGTTCCAGGTTGAGTCGTCCATCCTTCCAGTCACCTTATCCACCACTTGGAGCTTCTCTTTGATGCCATGCCCAGGTGAGGTTGCCACTGGACCAAACAGACTTGTGAATAGTTTAGTGAGCTCCCTTCTCATGTTCCCAGCCCCTACCCTTTCAGGAGTTATCTTGTAATTTCTCCATAATTCTCTCTTCTCTTGTGTGTATCTTTCTTCTCCCCCAGACTCACAATACTTCCTTCTATTTCTCTTTTTCAAGTCCTCATTTTGTTTAGTAATTATAGGTGTATCAGTTAGAATGCAAGTTCCACTAGCGTAGGGATTTGTGTCTGTCTTTCTCACTGCTGAGTTCCCAGGACCTAGGACAGATACCTGGCCCACACCTTATACTCCATTGCTGAATGAAGGTTTAATAGGCACTAAATTTTTGAAAATATTAAATGTATTTTTCTTTTTGGTTTGTTTTTATTTCAATAGCTTTTGGGGTACAAGTGGTTTTTGGTTACATGGATGAATTATATAATGGTGAAGTCTGAGACTTCAGTGCACTCTTCATCTGAGTAGTGTACATTGTACCCAATACATAGTTTTTTATTCCTCTTCCTCCCTCCCCCTTCTGAGTCTCCATAATCCATTATATCACTCTGTATGCCTTTGAGTACTAATATCTTAGCTCCCACTTATAAGTGAGAACATACAGTATTTGGTTTTCCATTCCATTACCTCACTCAGAATAATGGCCTCCAGCTCCATTTAAGTTGCTGCCAAAGACATTATTTCATTCTTTTTTATGGCTGAGTAGTACACCATGGTGTATATACACTACATATTCTTTACACATTCGTTGGTCAGTGGGCACTCAGGTTGGTTCTGTATCTTTATAATTGTGAATTACGTAGCAATAAACATGTGTGCAGGTGTCTTCTTGATATAATGATTTATTTTCCTTTGGGTTGATATCTAGTAGTGGGGTTGCTAGATTGAATGGTAGTTCTACTTTTAGTTCTTTAAGAAATCTCCATACTGTTTTCCATAGAGGTTGTACTAATTTGCACTCCCACCAGCAGTGTATAAACATTCCTTTTTCACCACATCCTTGTCAACATCTTTTTTTTTTTTTTTTTTTTTTTTGTCTTTTTAATAATGGTCATTCTTGCAGGAGTAAGGTGGTATCTCATTGCGGTTTTAATATGCATTTCCCTGATGATTAGTGATGCTGAGCATTTTTTCGGATGTTTTTTGGCCATTCATACATCTTTTGAAATATGTCTATTTATGTCATTTGCCCACTTTTTGATGAGTTTTTTTTCCTGTAATGTTTGAGTTTCTTGTAGATTCTGGATATTAGTTCTTTGTTGGATGCATAATTTGCAAATATTTTCTCTCATTCTGTGTGTTGTCTGTTTACTCTGATGATTATTTCCTTTCCTACGAAGAAGTTTTTCAGTTTAATTTAAGTCCCATTTATTTATTTTTGTTTCTGTTGCATTTGCTTTTGGGGTCTCAGTCACGAATTCTTTGCTTAGGTCAATGTCCAGAAGAGTTTTTCCTAGGTTTTCTTACAGAATTTTTCTGGTTTCAGGTCTTAGGTTTAAATTTTTGATCCATATTGAGTTGATTTTTGTGTCAGGTGAGAGATAGGGATCCAGTTTCATTCTTCTACATGTGGCTAGCCAGTTTTCCCAGCACCATTTATTAAATAGGGTGTCATTTCCCCAATTTATGTTTTCGTATGCTTTGTCAAAGATCAGTTGGTTGTATTTGGCTTTATTTCTGAGTTCTCTATTCCATTTCATTGGTCTATGTATCACTTTTATAACAGTATCATGCTGTTTTGGTAACTATATCCTTGTAGTATAATTTTAAATCTGGTAATGTGATGCATCGTGATTTGTTCTTTTTTGCTTAGGATTGTTTTGGCTATGCAGGCTCTTTTTTGGTTCCATATGAATTTTAAGATTATTTTTTCTAATTCTGTGAAAAATGATGTTGGTATTTTGATAAGAATTGCATTCAATCTGTAGATTGCCTTGGGTGGTATGATCATTTTCATATTGATTCTTCCAATCCATGAGAATGGGATATGTTTCTATACGTTTGTGTTATCTATGATTTCTTTCAGCAGTGTTTTGAAGTTCTCCATGCAGAGATCTTTCATCTCTTTGGATAAGTATATTCCTAGGTATTTTATTTTATTTTGTTGAAGTTGTTGTAAAAGGGATTGAGTTCTTGATTTGATTCTCAGCTTGGTCGCTGTTGGTGTATAGCAGTGCTAATTTGTGTATATTTGATTTAGTAACCTGAGACTTTACTAAATTCATTTATCAAATCTAGGAGTCTTCTGAAGGAGTCTTTAGAGTTTTCTAGGTATATGATCATATCATTAATGAACAGTGATACTTTGACTTCTTTTCCACTTTGGATGTCATTTCTTTCTTTCTCTTGCCTGATTGTTCTGGCTAGGACTTCTAGTACTATGTTGAATAGAAGTGATGAAAATGGGCATCCTTGTCTTGTTCCAGTTCTCAGGGGGAATGCTTTAGGCTTTTTCCCATTTAGTATCACATTGACTGTGGGTTTACCATATATGGCTTTTATAATTTTGAGGTAAGCCCCTTCTATGCCTAGTTTGTTGAGGATCTTTATCTAAAGGGATGCTGGATTTTATTAAATGTTTTTTCTGCATCTATTGAAATGATCTATGGTTCTAAATTCTGTTTTTGTGATGTACCACATTTATTGACTTGCATGTATTAAACCATCCCTAAATCCCTGGGATTAAATCCACTTGATCATGGTGTATTATATTTTTGATGGGCTGCTGGATTCAGTTAGCTAGTATTTTGTTGAGGATTTTTGCAACTATGTTCATGAGGGACACTGGTCTGTTGTTTCTTTATCATGTCCTTTCCTGGTTTTGATAGCAGGGTGACACTGGCTTCACAGAATGAGTTAGGGGATTCCCTCTTAACCTTTTGAAATAGTTTCAGTAGTATTGGCACCAATTCTTCTTTAAATGTCTGGTAGAATTCAGCTGTGAGTGCATCTGGCTCTGGGCTTTTTGTTGTTGTTGTTGGCATTTTAAAAATTACTGATTCAATCTCACTGCTTCTTACTGGTTGTTCATGGTTTCTATTTATTCCCGATTTAATCTAGGAGGGATGTATGTTTCTAGGAATTTATTCATTTCCTTTAGATCTTTCTAGTTTTGTGCATAGAGGTGTTCATAGTAGTCTTGAATGATCTTTTGTATTTCTCTGATGTCAGTCGTAATGTCTCCAGTTTCATTTCTAGTTTGAGTTTATATGAAACTTCTCTCTTCTTTTTTTGGTTATTCTAGTCAATGTTCTATCCATTTTATTTATCTTTTCAAGAAACCAGCTTTTTGTTTCATTGATCTTTTTTATTTTTTGTGTCAACTTTATTTGGTTCTGCTCTCATCTTTCTTTTTTTTCTGCTAGCTTTGGGTTTTTCTAGTTCCTTGAGATGTGACATTAGGTTGTCAGTTTGTGATCTTTCAGAATTTTTGATGTAGGCATTTAGTGCTATAAACTTTCCTCTTAAAAACAGTGCTTTTACTGTATCCTAGAGGTTTTGTTAATTTATGTCACTGTTACCATTCATTTCAAATAATTTTTAAATTTCCATCTTAATTTCAGTGTTAACCCAGAAATCATTCAGGAGCAGGTTATTTAATTTCCATTTATTTGTATGGTTTTGAAAGTTGCTTTTGGAGTTGATTTCTAGTTTTATTTCACTGTGGTCTGAGGAGATACTTGATATAATTTCAATATTTTTCTTCTAAAAACAACCCCCCAAAACGGGATACATGTGCAGAATGTGCAGGTTTGTTACATAAGTATACATGTGTCATGGTGGTTTGCTGCACTTACTGACACCCCCTAAGTTCCCTCCCCTCACCCCCCACCCCCTAACAGGCCCTGGTGTGTGTTGTTCCCTTCTCTGTGTCCATTTGTTCTCAATGATCAACTCCCACTTATGAGTGGGAACATGTGGTATTTGGTTTTGTGTTCCTGTGTTAGTTTGCTAAGGATGATGGCTTCCAGCTTCATCCATGTACCTGCAAAGGACATGATCTCATTACTTTTCATGGCTGCATAGTATTCTATGGTGTATATGTACCACATTTTCTTTATCCAGTCTATCATTGATGGGCATTTTGGTTGGTTCCATGCCTTTGCTATTGTAAATACTGCTGTAATAAATGCACATGCTCATGTGTCCTTATAATAGAATAATTTATATTCCTTTGGGTATATACCCAGTAATGAGATTGCTGGGTCAAACGGTATATCTGGTTCCAGATCCTTGAGGAATTACCATACTGTCTTCCACAATGATTGAACAAATTCACATTCCCACCAACAGTGTAAAAGCATTCTTATTTCTCCATGGCCTCAACAGCATCTGTTGTTTTCTGACCTCTTAATCATTGCCATTCTGACTGGCATGAGATGGTATCTCATTGTAGTTTTGATTTGCATTTCTCTGATGATCAGTGATGTTGAGTTTTTTTTCCATATGTTTGTTGGCCATGTAAATGTCTTCCTTTGAGAAGTGTCTGTTCATATCCTTTGCCCACTTTTTGATGGGGTTGTTTTATTTTCTTGTAAACAGGTTTACGTTCCTTGTAAATTCTGGATATTAAACCTTTGTCAGATGGGTGAATTGCAAAATTTTTCTCACATTCTGTAGGTTGCCTGTTCACTCTAATGCTAGTTTCTTTTGCTGTGCAGAAGCTCTTTAGTTTAATCAGATCCCATTTGTCAATTTTGGCTTTTCTTGCAATTGCTTTTAGCGTTTTTGTCATGAAGACTTTGCCGACACCTATGTCTTGAATGGTATTGCCTTGGTTTTATTCTAGGATTTTTATGGTTTTGAGTTTTACATTTACATCTTTAATTCATCTTGAGTTAATTTTTGTATAAGGTGTGAGGAAGGGGTGCAGTTTCAATTTTCTGCATATGGCTAGCCTGTTTTCCCAGCATTATTTATTAAATGGGGAATCCTTTTGCCATTGCTTGTTTTTTTCAGGTTTGTTGAAGATCAGATGGTTGTAGATGTGTGGTGT